GGGGGGGGGGGGGGGGGGGGGGGGTTGGGGGGGGGGGGGGGGGGGGGGGGGGGGGGGGGGGGGGGGGACAGTTGCAAGCAAGGCCGAGAGGACCTCCCACTCCCAGTGGGGCTGGGGAGTCGGGAAATGTAGAGCTCAGAGGGGACGATGCAGTTCCTCCTTCCAGTCAGGAGGTGGCTCGGTCAAAGGGAAGAGCATTTAGGCAGGAACATTCCTCCATCTCAAACTGGCAGCCCTTTGGCCAAATTCCGACCAAGGGCCTACTGGTTTGGCCATTCCCAGGCTGTGGCTAGGTTATCTAATACTTGGATGTAAACACCTTTCAGTGGGCATGGCCTCCCTGATTCATCGCCCCCACTGCCTCACGCACATTTATTCATTCATATCACCTGCCCGGCCCCGGAAATCACCTGAGTCTGCAACTCTTCCCAGAGGACACCAGAGAGGGCTACAGTCCTGCCTGATGCCTCTGACAGCCTGCTCAAATGTTCTCAAGGGGAGTCCCCAGACTGGCAGCGGCAGCTCCCCTGGGAGCTTGTTAGAAATGTGGAATCTCAGGCCCCACCTCACACCCAGGGAATCAAGAGCCCCTGGGGTTGGGCCAGCAGGCTCGACACCGCTGCTGGCCTCATGACCTCTCCACCAGTGGACTCCACGGTACTCACGCACCAGATCACACCCCCCTCCTCTGGGAGTCCTCAGGCTGGGTGGCAGCAGAGACCTGACACTAGCTCTGGGCCCATGCCATCACAGGGAGAGGGGTAGAGAGCTTTGGGGGCACAGAGGAGGGAGCCAGCAAGCAGCATCAGAGTTGGGCACACTGGTTGACTTGGGACCTCCTAACCTTCTAGGAGACACACAGGGTGGGATCCTGAACATCCGCCTCACAGAACAATGAAAGCTAGTGGGCAGGCTTACTTTGTGCAGTCGTCATCTCAGCATGCACTGTGTATAAAGTCAGCACATCTCAACAGGTGCACACGAGCTCCCAGGGACCTTGCTAAGATGCAGAGTCTGACCTCAGGGGCCAAGGTGGGGTCTGAGACTCTGCGTCTCTAACCAGCTCCCAGGGCACAGGGATGGACCACGGGGCACACTCTGAGAGGCATGGGGTCAAGTTCCCTAACCCTTCTGACAGCCCCAAGAGGAAGGTACTGACTGATTCTACACCCCATCTCACACAAAGGGTTGTTGAGGCACAGAGAGGCTCCCCAGGACCACTCAGTGAGAAAGTGCAAAGCAGAATTCAAAGGGGGGACCCCCACGTCACTCCCTGCCCTCATTCCTCCACACCCCCTACGTGAGACTGCAGGGCTGTCCCTGGACTCAAGCTGCAAATGGCACACAGGCAGGAGGAGTGCTCTTTAAGATCCAGGGGCAGTGAGCAGATGGCAGTACAGACCTCGGAAGAACTGGCTGGTGTCAAAGACCTGGACCACCACATCGCGCTCCAGCTTGTTGGGCCTGCCCTTGCACACCACCGCGTTTCCGCTGTAGAACACGCGGCCCTGGCACAGCCGCTTGACGAACATGCCCTGCTGGCTGCTGTGCAGCAGCACACCGCGCTCCAGGTGCCCAAACAGCTTCCGCGTCACCTGCCTCTGCCGCTCACTGGGGATAGCATCAGCCGGCGGGAAGCGCACCAGCTCCAGACCCTCGGGCCCATACAGCTTAGCACTGGGCAGCCCCGGCTGGCTCAGGGACAGGCGGCAGCCCTCAGGGCAGGTGGTGGTGGTCTGGCCCACCAGCTTGCCCCCGTAGTAGAAGCTGATCACCATCTGGGAGAAGGCTGTGGACAAGATGGGGGCAGGTTAGGGGGCTGGAGGGATCCTGGTCCCTCCTACCCAAATGCCTGGTCTGTCATTCTCCTACACAGGGGACTTAACTTTTTGTGTGACTTAGACTTCTTTGACATTCTGGGGGAGTTCTGAAAATAACGTTTTTATAAGCATAAATAAATACACAGACTGACTAAGGAAACCAATGATTCAAAATATTAAAAACTACAACAGTGCTCTCTGTACTCTTTTATTAACGCTCAGTAGAAGATCTAGGGGAAGGTCTGGTAACTGTTGTAATATACAAGTCATCCACATTGGCATTAAATGAGGTTCTGGAACCATGCAGGGTAGGGAGTCAGAGCTACAAGTACTATAGCCCAACTTTGACATTTAGGGAAACTGAGGCCCAGATGGGGTGACCCAGCAGGTAAGCAGCAGCACCAGTCTCGTTATTCCTGTTCACCATCCTCCCCATCATGCCAAGGGACACACTCCTTCCTTCACCCCGGAACAGTTTTTGAACTTCATTCCAAGTGAATGAAAGACCACAAGTGACTCTATCACACTCTGGCCTTTTGCCCATTATTCCTGTTCACCATCCTCCCCATCATGCCAAGGGACACACTCCTTCCTTCACCCCGGAACAGTTTTCGAACTTCATTCCAAGTGAATGAAAGACCACAAGTGACTCTATCACACTCTGGCCTTTTGCCCGTCATTTCCTGGTCCTTATCTCAGTACCAGCACCTCTTGTTCGTGTGAACTGGCAGCTTTGCCAGGAACGGTACAGTGTTTTCAGAGACACCCAGACAGCAGTGTCTTAGTGACTACCCAGCGCAGGACATCTTAAGTTCAGTGAAGGTTCAAGCTGGAAGGGGCCTGATGACTCACACACCTGACCGGTGAGAAGTGGAGACCCATGGAGGAGAAGTAGCTCACCAAGGGCCACCTAGGTGCCACAGGTCGGCCTTTCTGCGATGCTAAGAGCCCCTCTGCACCCAGCCCTGCCCCTGTTACAGCCACTCGCCTGCCAAGGACTGCCCTGCTGGGGAACAGCCTGACCCAAGGGGCAGTAGCAGAGATGCAGCAGAGACTCCGGAGCCATTGCTAGGTCCCAGCTAAGTGACCTGGGGAAAGCAGCTTCACCACTGTGCGCCTCAGTCTTCATCAGCAGAGTAGAGGTGACAATAGCACCCACCTCACCAGGCTGCCATGAGGACTGCATGAGCTCGTATTTGCTCTTGGCACAAGTAAGCATCATGTAAGTAGTTATTAAATAAATTGGGATAACAGGAAAAAAGATCATCGACATAGGTGAGACTCCTAGAATTATAAATCATAGTCCCTGGTCTTTACAGTGCTACATGCCAGGTGCTGTGCTCCATGCTCTGGATCTACCACCACATTTAACCCCATGACATAGAGATTATTAATTATTATACCCACTTTCCAGGTAAGGAAACTGTGGCATGGGCAGGTTAAAGTGCTTGCCCTGAAGACACAGCTGCTACATGGGGGAGCCTGGACTCACCCCCTCCCCAGAAGGCTGGCTCCAAGTCTGCATTCATAAGCACTGAGCCACACCATCAGTTTAAAGCTTCACCATTCACCCCAGTCATTGCAAATACCTATAGCCTAGAGCACAAACTGGCAGCCACAGGAATATTTGTACTGGCCAGCACAGCAGTGTGTTGTTAAGGTAGATCTGATGCCAACATTTTACATGGAGAGATTTCATATAAAAATCCAGACCTTTGGTTTTGCTAGAAAAATGGAGCCCAGCTGGGTCTGCAAGCCCACAGGACACCAACTAACTGCCCCTGAGCAGCCTGTGGGGTGTGGGCACTCACTCTGCCACGGTCTCTGCCACTCCCAACCATCCTCCACCTCCTCATTTCACTCACTAGATTACCTTGTCCCCACAGCGTTAAGAACTAGGAGCTCTGACATCAACTTATTTACGTAGAGGTGAGGCGTATGTGTGTGTGAACTGAAAGAGGTCCCAGAAGACCACATTTCCAGCAGAATGATTTAGGGCTTTCTCTGCACATAGCAGTGGCTGTTTCACTCATGCTGTGCTGAGACAGCTCCGGAATAATTCAAGGAAACTTCCTCCTCAGATCGTGTCTCCACCCCCACTCTGATGGCCGCAGCTCTGTGCCTGCTACTCTGCTACCCCCAGAAAGCAGTGGTCAGCAGGCTCCCAGGCCACAGCCCAGTGCTAACTAGGTCAGAGGCTTGGTCCCATGACCCAGGGTCTCCTGGAATTGGGCCTCTCATGAGCATGGCAGCTGCCCATCATAAAGAAGCCTCAAGAACAGGCTTGAAGCCAGATGCCTGTGTGACCTTGGGCAAGCGACAGAACCTCTGAGCCTCAGTTTCCTCATTGTGAAGCTGGAGTCAGAACAGTCCCCTGCCCACAAGACTGCTGTGAATTGGACATGAGCTTGGGGAAAGGGAACGTCACTTTCTTTACCATTTTTTTGCCTGGGTAAGAACCTGCCTCTATCACCAGAAAAACACCATCCTATGACGGCCTTGGTCAACATGCTTCTCACTGAGCCCCACGACCTCCTCTGCCCCAGGAGGCCTCAAGCTGCCCAGCCCTAACATTCTGGGGCCCATCCTGATAAGCCAGGCTGTTCGCCTCTTACAGAACCCAGCCAATGTTGGGAAGATACCCCAGCTTCCTTGGCTCAGAAGATGCCCTCAAGACTGAATGTCAATTCCAGAGGCAATTGACAGAAGATCAGCCAGATTCCTCAGTGTAATCAGACAACAACATGGCTGCTGGGACTGTATGCAGAGGCCACCTCTGCCCACAGTGGACAGGACAAGACAGCCTGGGGCAGATCCATTGTCCACAATGTACAAGCTGTGTGACCTGCGGCCCCTGAACCTGTGAAATGGGAATAGCAGCATCTACCTACAGAAAGATAGGTACCTGGGAGGGGAAGACTGAGATGAAGCCACAGAAGTCTCAGTGTTGACCCTGGCACCTGGTAGCATTCAATAAATATCATCCACCACCATCATCATCACCATCATCGCCATCCTCGCCATCATCATCATCATCACCATCCTCACCATCACCACCACCATCATCATCACCATCACCACCATCATCATCACCATCACCACCATCACCATCACCATCACCACCACCATCATCATCACCATCACCACCATCATCATCACCATCACCACCATCACCATCACCATCACCACCACCATCATCATCACCATCACCACCACCATCACCACCACCACCACCACCACCACCATCAGCCAGAGTACCCCTTACCTGAATGGTGTGCATCATAGGTGGGGTACCTTGTCACCAGGGGCAAGCCTAGAGAAAAAGAAAAGCAAATTTAGCCCTGCTCAGGTGTGTGTGCAGGGAACCAACCCAACCACTCCCTCTTCAAAAGTTTCTTAAAAGGCTGTACATGGCACACTCCAGAGGCCTCATGCCAGGCTTTGCTGAATTCGGTGTTTCTCCCTTCCAGAGTGGCAACCTGTTCTTTCATAAATGCAGAAAACCAGACCTTGACCAAACCAGAGTGGATGGGGGGAGACTTCCCCTATACTGTGGGATTTCTGACCATGTGTCAGTGTGACACTGCAGGGCCACCTTTCCTTCCCACTCTGAAGGCCTGCCCTGAAAGATCACCGGACCACATGCCCACCATGCAGGCTTGCCTCCAAGGACAGCCTGGAGGCCCAAGCTAGCTTTCTTGAAGGTGCTTCAGCACAGAGAGGGGGCCTCTCCCAGCGCCCCTCTCTCGACACTGCTACCCATGGCCTGGCAGCCTCTAAGGCCTGCAGGGCCAGCTGCCACTTCCTGGTCCCCATGGGGAAGGGGGCCAGGGGACAAGGTCCAGGGTGGAAGCAAAGATGTTCACAGGCTGCAGAAGCCTCAGCTTAGGCAGGAGGCCCATTTCAAGCTTCTGTGGGCTCAGAGCGTGTTCATCAGAAGCTAACAAAAGGGAGAGTGTCTCATTTAACCCTCGCAACCCCACGGGGCAGGTCCTGGTACCTCCATGAATAAACTGAGGCTCACATAAGATACACAACTTCCCAACATGGGATTCAAATCCACGGCTCCAAGAATTTCCCATTCCTGGCCTGAGTTCTCCTCCCTTCCTGATGCCCTGAGCTATCTTTGGCTCTGAGGAGAAGCTTAATGTCCTAACAGACTGGTAGACTTAGCATGGAGCCCAGGGAGAGGCGCCCATGCGAGTAAGAGCTGCATCTTCCCTCCAGTCTTGGAGAAATTCACTAGACCCCCTGGCCTTGACTTTCCCAGGAGTGTGGGGGGACAGCGGACATGGACATCACATATGGACCCAGCAGCACGTGTCCTCCTGGGAGGCAGTGGAGTGCAGGCCGAGGACTGGGCTCTGCCCTCGTGGTGGGAAACCAGTACAGTGTTTCTTCCCTCTGTGGGCTCAGGTACCTTCAACAGGACACAGATCATAACAGTATCAACCGCCCCACTCTGTCCCCGGCTGTCGTAGGCTGACACGAGCAATGCTGTAGGCCATTCAGATCCTGCCTGGCAATGGTCCTGGGCTCCCCTTCCTCACCTGTGCTGGGCTGCTGCGCCCACCAGTCTGGGAGGAGCTGGCTCCTGCAGGCCTCTGGGGGGGAGGGGCTCCTCTTGATCATCCCCATGTAATCATCCACAGGAGGCTGCACAACCAGGCAAGAGAAGAGAAGAGCAGCTCAGCCACTGAGCACCAGTGTGGGCCCCAGTGTTTGCAGAAATGCGCAGTCTATGCAGAACTAAAACCACAGGGTCACCTTCATCTCACAATACCTAAGTAAAGTTGTACTTTGCAACTTGAAGGACCCCAGACTATAAATCCACCAGCCTTGGCAATCAAACCACATGGCCGAATTACCAGCTTCTTTGGGGATCACTACTAAGTTTACTGGCCTTTTGCATGGAAATGCCCATTACAAACCAGATGTACCAGGTTATCCTACTGCCCTGACACCCTGCAGATGTGGACAAGTTCTGGGACACCAATGAACAGTGACACGGAGAGAAATCTGCCATGCTTTCAAGAATCTTGCTCCATGAGCCATGTGAAGATTTTTGATCTCTGACCCATTCCTTAAAGGGTGTTGATAAATCCAATTATGAAATGTTTTGAAATCTGCTTTTATTGTGACCCCGGTTTAGCAATCCGATTATCTCACTCTCTTAGCTGAGTGGGCAGAAAAGCCTTGTGCAGAAAACAGGACATTGTTGGAGGGGCAAGCCAGGAACGCATTCAGTCTGCTGCCAGCAACCACCCAGAACCTTGACAGCCACCATCTGCAGAAAAGCCAGGCAGCCTCGAGTGGCTAGACTCCTCTACCTTCACTCTCGGACAGCCAAGAAACTCCTGAGGTTCCTTCTATTGCTGTGTTACTGTTAGGAATTTATATAGTACCCACACCACCTTTTGCAAGGACTACATGGGATTATTTTAGTTATGTAATATCCGCCTTGTAATATCAATAAAAAATATAGTTAGGAGGCTAAAGGTAGAGGAAATAGAATCCAAATAGCTAAAATTGGTATACAAAAGCCATACGTTTTGTCTGAGACCCCGTTAAGCCTTCAATTATAGCTTATTAACCATGAGTTTGTGTACAATTCTAAGGAGCTTGGTTATCGGGTTTTCCAACCCATTAGAGAATAAAACCTGCATGTTAAAAAATAAGCAATCCAGTAGCTGTGAGAGCGAGTGCAATAACCCCTGTGCAATAACCCCTGTCCTAACGACCACCCAGCATGAGGAACGCTGATGTTCTGTTTCCTGCATCCTCGCTAAGAAGGCGAGGGAACCCCTGACGCATTTTAAAAGACTGCCATCAAGACGGCTAGGACATGAAGAGCTTAGAGCTGGAGGAAACTTCGCTGACACACAGCAGGCCACACAGGCCCCAGCCTCAGGATGGGACGAAGGAGGAGATACAGACGCGGGGCTGGGGGCTGACCAGTTGGTAGAGGCCGGCCTGGGGAAGGTGGCCACTCAGTCCTTGCAGTCCGTCTCTATGCAGGTGGAGGCTCGGGTGCCCCAGCAGAATGAGTATGATGCCGCTCCTAGCCAAGACATGAGGTCTCTGCTGGGGGCCGGACCCTGAAGTGCCACCTCCACTTACCTCCTTGATGAGGTCGTCAATTTCCGAGCGACCGCACTCCATCTCCGTGACTTCGTTCACACAGCTGGGAGTTACCATGCCTAGTTTGCCTAGGGAAAACCAGACAAATGACATGACGCAGGGTACTGAGGCATCATGGCCACCCCAGAAGCCATAATCAATTTTTTTAATGCTGAGTTTAGGGAAATAAAAGCTGATAAGCGTCTTCACCAGTTGGGGGAAGGCACAGAAATTTTCTTCCCATGTTCAGTCATCTGGTCAGCAAAGTCAAAAGAGAGAAGTTGGTGGTGGTGGTTTTTGCTAACATTTTCGAAGGATAAGGACAGCACTTGGGTCTCTTCCTTCTATTTGCCAAGATCCAAAATGAACCCATATTAGATACACTTCACACCAGGGGTTTACTACCCTACAAAGGTCAAATTGACAAGCTGGGGCATTTGAAGTCACTCAAAGATTTCCTGGCAAAATGTGTTGGCAGGTTGGGGTCTTTTTTTCAAAAGCCAGTTGGCAGGAAATCTCTGGCCTTTCCAAATATACATGTACACATCTGTGAACGTGCGTGCACACACACACACACCACACCACTAAGATTCACTGAGGGCCAGATGGAGACAGCCTGAACCAGGAGCTGCCTGAAGGTACACGGCGTTTCCAGAAGGGGCATTCTGGACCAACCTCGGCTCTTCCCCATCTCGAGACGCTCCCCTGGCCAGAAACCCGCCTTATGACTTGTATCAGTGTGGGACGTGTCATAACCAAGAAACACTGGAAGTCATTAACGTCAGTGGTCCATAGGCTTTTCCCATCAGTTCCTCCTGACTGAACTTTGGTCTCACTTAAAGAATCACTTAGAAGCTGCTGATGGAGGAAGTCGGGGGGCAGGTGGGCACCCAGTGTAGCTTGAAAACCGGTGAAGTACAGAGGAGAGGAGGCCCACTTAGACACTATGCAAATGCACCATTTTTGCCCCCAAGAACCTGCCAGCTCCTCTAACGTCCACACTTGCAGGTGATGCTGGCTGCACCCCATGCCATAAACAAGTTAGGGTCACCTGCCAGTTCACACTTGGCTGACTCTGGGGGGCGGGGGGTAGTCAAGACAAACTTCCCTATTCTTTCAAATCGCAATCTACTTTATGGTGATGAAAAATTATCCAAAACCGGGAAATAAGGCAGAAGATGGCTGCTCGGCCTTTCAGAGCCACCTGGAGCATTACCTACAGACCTCTCCCCAAGGCTTGTCTGATTCTCCCCACAGGGAAGGCCAGTTTGTTGGACTTACTACCTATTACCGAATAGGGTTCAGACTCAGTAAAGTTAGGTGTTAATTCTCAGATGATTAAGCTACAAGTGACCAAGAAGAAAAGAGGACACCCTGACTGTGGCTGCACTGGACATTCCTCAGCTTGGCTCAGCTTCCTGACTTTCGCTGACCACATACACCTGCATCTCATATTCTCTGTCAGACAACTGATGAAGGTCAGTGCCCTCAGTAATGAGCTAAATAACTCTCCGACACAGGCTCAGTATATATTCATGAGTCACGATTTTCACTCCTTTTTAAAATTATACATCGACATTTTCAACACCCTCACTGTGAGAAAAGTGCAAACTCAGAATTTTTGCACAGCCCTAAGAAGTTTTTTAAGGGTTCTATTTCTTTCAGGCATTACTGAACTACTGATAAGCTTTTAAAGAGAAAACCTAATTGCTACACTGAATGGCTAAGAAAGTCCATGTGTTAGAAAAGTGTTTTAAACCAGTGATGGTAATTAGATTTTATCTCATGAGTCAGCTCTAATTCACAGCAACTGCACAGCACATTACTTTGGAAAGCTTGATACATTCTGGTTGATTAGTGATGTTTGACCAGCTTGGTACATTCTGGTTGACCAGTGATGTCTGACCAGGGCACGGGAACAAGGAGTGGGGGCATGTGGCAGGTTTTTGCTATCCCTGCTTCGATCCCCTCACAAATGCTTTCTTGAGACTGCAGAGATGAAAGAGACCTCAGGAATTATCACACCCCAGAGTTTCCAAACAACAATCAGTATCTGACAATATACTGAGGCGTATTTGACGTCCAGCATTGATGCCTATTGTACCATCTTCTACAACTTCACCTGAGAACTCCACTCTCCACCCTCACCATCCACTCCTTCCTCATCCAGCACATTTTCCCCTAGCCTCCTCTGCAAGTCACCAGAAAACATAAGGGAATTCCTCATCAGAAACTGTTGGAGGACCCTGTTCCTGTCCACTTGCACTACTGAGCTCCAGGGAGGCTCTACCACGCGCTCACGGTGTGATGGTCAGTGAACAGCAGACTGGAACGCAGCCCCCTCTCCTCCACCCTTCCCTCCCATCCTTGCTGCCACTCACTCAACTGGAAGCTGCCACTGGGACAGCAAATGGTGCATGAGGTAAGTGGAAAGTGATCTCAGTATCTGTGTATACAGAGAAGAGGACTGTTCTCCTCATGCCCCAGACCCTGTGCCCCAGACCCTGTGGGCGGTCACATCTTCCCCAGACCCAAACTCTGCAGAGAGGTCTACAGGCCGGGGCAGCTTCTGGAAGACTTAGCACCCATAAAGGATATTTACATTTTTGCTCCTCCTCAGGGACGATGCGGTAAACTTTGTATGGCTCGGAAATGTCCAGCTGGGACCGGTCTGTCACTTCCTCAAAATCTGGGCTCTTGTTCAAAGCACAGCGTAACCTCGTTTTCCACGTGGCTGGTTCAGCTTTGTCCCCTTCTTTAAACTTCCCTTTAAAAACTGCCCAGGCCTGAAGAAAGAAATAGAAGTGCTTTAAATCCATGGCCAGCCCTTGACCACAAACCCCCATCTCCATGATCAGGACCCAGCACATAGTCCCCTCCCAGGAGGCTGCACTGGCTGTCAACTCCCATACCATTTCGGGACTCTAAGAGACTTCAGTCAGTCCACTCTCTTCACCAGGTGTGAAAAGACCCAGGCAGGGAAGGGGTCCCCAAAGATCACCCAGCTGAGCCAAAATTTCGAACTCAGGTCCAAGGCTCCTCCCACACACACCCCTGGATGTGCCTCTTAACAAAAGTCCTTCCCTAGAGGAAAGGCCTGGAGATGACTGAGGTTAAGCAGAACAAAGAGGAAGTTGCACTTGGTTTCACTAGAATGTTCAAAACAAAGACAAGTTTTTGTTTTTTCAAATCAACCCCTAGCTAAAAGTTAGCATGAAAAGGGAACATTTGCAAAAAAGGGTCTGAGTGCAGTAGTCCTCTGCTCTGCCACTTTTAATAGAAATTCTGCTTTGCATTTTTCATTTACTCTCCCCTCCCCCTCCCCCCAAGCACTGTTTAAAATGCAATGAGATGTTTTTCCTCTATTGGTTTGTTTTTATAGCTGTTTTCTGACCTCTCCAAACCTTAGGATCTGAACTAGGGCCATAAATTTAAGGCTGGAAACTTAAAGCCAAAATGCAGAATGGAGCAACATGTAAAAAACAGGACATGTGCATGGGCATATTTTAAGATTCCAAAATTGGAATACAGACACACTGATTAGGAGATAAGCACTGTCAGGTGAAAAGTTACTTTCAGTTTTAGGCAAAATCAGACACTGTCTTCCAGCCGAAAATAATAGGACATCTGGAGGGAATTCTCAGGCCAATCCAGGAAAATGCAATTCCCAGAGGTAAATTACTTTTCCAAAGGGAACCCGTCTGGATTCAACACCAGCTGCTCTGACTTCCAACCCAATGGAGTTTCCACTACTGCAGGGGTTCTCAAGCTTCATGCATAAACCAATCCCCTGGGAAGCTTGTGAAAATGCAGATGCCTGGGCACTGCCCCTCAAGATTCTCATTCGATAGGTGCAGGTTAGATCTAGGAATCTTAGTCTTTAGCCAGCATCCAAGTGATTCTGGTGTAGGTGGTGTATTAGTCCATTTCTGTTGCTTATAACAGAATACCTGAAACTGGGTAATTTATAAAGAAATAGAATTTATTTCTTACAGTTTTGGAGCCTGGACCAGGGGCACATATGCTAAGAGCCTTCTTCTTTGGTGGTGGCTTTCTACTACAACTCCGTATATCATAAGACAAGACTAGGCTGAGCCAGAGAGTAACCTGCTCACTCACTCTCCTTATGAAGCCGTCAAACCTGGACCAGGGGCACATATGCTAAGAGCCTTCTTCTTTGGTGGTGGCTTTCTACTACAACTCCGTATATCATATGACAAGACTAGGCTGAGCCAGAGAGTAACCTGCTCACTCACTCTCCTTATGAAGCCGTCAAAACCACGCCCATTACTCCATGAATGGGTCAATCCATTCACAAGAGCACAGTCCTCACAATCTAATCACCTCTTAAAGGACCCCCTCCCCTTTCAAATACCATAGTTGGATTTCCCACCCTCTTAACACTGTTACAATGGAGATCAAGTTTCCAGTACATGAACCTCTGGGGGACACATTCAACCCATAGCAGGCAGCCAGGAGGCTGCTCTTCCAGAAACTCCAGAATGCTTCTATGAGTCACAGCTCCTTTAAAACTGCCCCAGATGTTTCCCCCCCCTCTCAAAAAGCCGAGAACGTTTATAGTTCAAGGCCAGTGCTCTCTATTCTGTTGATGCAACAGTTTGCTCTATGCCAAGGGCAAAGAAAATGGAAGAACATTCCTATCAGTGAGCAGGAGTGGCAGTTTCCTTTTCTGACACAGATGCAAAACTCTCCTCTAGAAATGCTTTCTTAAAGTAACACATCTTCAATTCTATCCTTTACCAACTGCATCACTGACCATGCATTGATGTGGGTAGTGCTTGTGTTGTTTCAAAGAAATATAAGAGCAAACCATGTACTAATTGAAGAGTAATTTCAAATTTTTATTATTGTAAATCAGGGTTTCTCCAGCTGGGCCCTATCAGGGACCAGATCATTCTTTGTGGTGGGGACTGTCCTGTGAACAGAATGTTCAGCACACCCCTGGCCTCGACCCCCCAGATGCTAGTAGCACCCCCTGCCCTGCTGTGACAACCAAAAATGTCTTCATACATGGCCAAATGTCCCCTGGGCGGTAAAATGATGACCTTTTCCCCTATTTGAAAACTACTAGGTTATCTCATATTTTACAAACGGACCTTGGAAAGCATGGACTTTGTGACCATGTGACTATCAGCAGGTGCGTTTCTGGGACCGCGATGCCTCCAGGGCACTGCCATCTGCATTGATTCATTTGAGGCTCACTCAGACGTGAGGAAGGCTGGGACAAACCACCAATCAGCACAGGGCCCTGGGCTGGCATCAGCTACCCTGCTTGCAGCCTGCCCCGAGTCCTGTGACAGAGGGATTCCGAGCCCTCCAGCAAGTGCCATCATGGCTTGCTCCTGCTGACACGCAGCCTGGCATTCACAGCAGCTGGCACTAAACCCGGGACCAGGACGTCTTCCTCATGTAACGTGACTGTCTCATATTGTGTTTTAACAATCAAATGCTATCTTTTTTCCTTCAAAGCCTACTGAATTTGAAGTACCTGTGTTTCTAAGTAAGTTTTAACTATTTAAGACATTACAATTCCTGGTCAATGAGAGGCCGATGAATCCTGACCCTCACTTAACTAGATTTCCCCTCCTTATCTTTATGAAAAAGAGGGAAAATACTTTTTAAAAAATAAATATGACTGACATTGGGGCCTCATCAGTGTACTCAGGGTTAGTACAAAGTGAACCAAATGTTTTCTTCAATCTCCCATCTGTGGTCTCCCCCATGAAGCTGACTCAGGATGACACCCACAGATGGTGAAGGATTCTCGGGTATAAGTGGCTTCTTACGATCCACTGACTGAGGCAAGAAAGCAAACTCATGTATTTTTTTCTTAACTCCTACATTTTTTTAAAGGTTTTCCTTGAATGTTTGAAATAAACAAGTTCTCTACTTAACCAGAAAATCCCTGAGACGGTGCAATCTAACCAACGAGTCTCCATCAGGGAAGCACCCACGGGTTCTTGTCAACACCGTATACCCACCGGCTCAGTCTGTGGCCCTCCTAATGGCCTCCCTGCTCTGGGTGGGCACCCTGTCTCCCTCCTGCCCCCATTCCTGCTGAGATTGTAGACTCATTTCAGATTGCCACATCAAGCAACTGCATAACCAACGGAAACATTGGGAATCTTGCACATTTTTCTCAACACTGTTGAAACGGCCATGAAGAATATTGCATAAGATGTATAAATCTGGGGCTTTATTTCATTATGCCCAGAGCATAAGCTGAGGCAGGGAACTGAGTGAAGGGAGAAGCATGCATCTCTTTCAGCAAGCCACAATGGCAGGACTTGTGCAGCCTGACAGTCCAGCACCCTCTACTACTCTCCTGGAGATGTTTTACAGATGTTCAAACTGCAACTGTGCCCTCAGCATCCAACACACATGGTTAAATCTGTTGATCCAGACCATGGTCAGCTGATAGTGGGATTCTCGATGGGGAAGGGGAGACCGTGCCCCCCAGGAGACATCTGGCCATGTTCAAGATATTTTTGATTGTCTCTCTGGGGGAGGAGGTGCTACTGGCATCTAGTGGGTAGAAGCCTGGGATGCTGCTAAACATCCTACAAGGCACAGGGCAGCCCCCATGACAAAGAGTTATCCAGCCCTAGACATCAACAGTGCTGAGGCTGAGGAACCCTGGCTTATCTAGTGGGTAGAAGCCTGGGATGCTGCTAAACATCCTACAAGGCACAGGGCAGCCTCCATGACAAAGAGTTATCCAGCCCTAGACATCAACAGTGCTGAGGCTGAGGAACCCTGGCTTACAGCCATCTACAATCTAGAATTCCCAACTGACCACATGGGACTTGGGCACTGTTTAAATTTAGCAGAGTCATTCCCAAGAGAAGTGCACCATGATGCGAAAGGCAAAAGACATCTACAATCTAATGAGAGAGAAACCCACAATGGCACTGGGAACAAGACAGCAGGCACTGGCATTGCAAAACTGGTGGAGGGTCGGGCTTCCTGACCTGGGGCATTGCACAGAACGTGCAGGCACACTGAGACCCCTTGAAGGGGAGTGAAAACATTCCCATGTGCCCTTCTTTCTTGAAGAAGGTCAGTAACTGGCATCAGATTCTCAAACAGATCTGCAACCCTGAACTACGCATTCAACAGAATAGTTAAAATGGGTAGCCCCACTGCAAACATCGATCAGGCAGAGACCTGAAGGACTAAAATGCGTCTTAAGCATTTACGCTCCATTCTGGGCCTCTTGGTCAGGAGACAGACATCCATGAGGATCCAGCACTGTCAGGGGTCAAAGCCTCTGCTCCCCAACTTGCTCCCGGTCTTGGGTCTGATTCTGGTCCCTCCACAACTCAGCCTCCCCCAACCCATCCCCACACTCACACCCACAGAATAAGCGCACAGCAGTGGTTTGCAGCCTGAGCTCTGAGTCAGACCACCTATGGTGTATGTGTTTGCAAACATGGAAGTTTGGGCTGACCTTGACCTAGGGCTCCAAATCTCCTAGGAGTGGAACCTGGACATCTGGAGCTGTACATGTCTGCAGGTGACCCTGATGTACCACAGGGGACTCTTGGTAGCCCCACTGGTCTGCAGAGCTGGGCTGCCTGGTTCCTGGTTTCTCTGCCTGAATCTAAGTGTAATTGCAAGAAATCTCTCTGTTTATAACTAGCACTGGCACCAGGGGTGCAGGCTCACGGTTGGGCTGCCCACATTCGAACACTGGCTCCATCATACAGGAGCTGCAAGACCTTGTGCAAGTCACTTCTCCTCTCTGTGCCTCTAAAGAACGAGGATGAGAACAGCATCTACCACACAGGACTCTGTGAGAGGAAACAAATGACCCGCATGGGGCCAGTCATGGCAGAGAACAAACCCTCGATCAACGCCAGCCTTCATTATGCCAACGGCAGGACTGAAGAGCAAGCCTCTGCGTGCGTAGGGTACTCAATCTCAAGGCAGGTAAGACTGTTCTTAAACATCAGCTGCAAGTACAGGACACTCCACATGACCAGCCCCAGCAGTGATGAAAGAGGGCATCTCGCTCTTCTGAGCTGGCCCTACAATGCCAGGCGGAGGGAACAGCTTTGAAAGAATGAAGACATAAACCTTTTCCAGCACACCGAGTCACCTCTGAAGGCAGCCCAGGGGTAAAGGCCTTAGGGTAAGGGTCTCAAGGAAGCATTTTCTCTCCCTTGGCTCATTGTCATGAAAAAGACATGGGAGGATTGGTAAGGAAAGTGCCCTCAACCTCATCAGGGAAGTGCCAACAACACAAGTGACCTCCCCTAATGGGTATTCTTAGGACACATTCAGCTCTCCTCAATAAATGTTTGGTTTTTTTTAAAATTGGATTGATTTTAAGTAAATCAGAAAGACATCACTCAATGCCTCCGCAAGTCCAGCAGGGAAAACAGAAACTGGGTCCACGTGCGGGGGAGGCAGCTGGTGTCTTTACCTTGAAAATGGAGGCATCCACTTCCTGATTATAATCTTGTTTGCCAGCGTGTTTCCAAGGGATCCGGAACATGCTCTTCTCATCATTTTCCCAAATCAGCCCTGGATACGTGTTGCTGTCAATTTGTTCAATCAGCCACTGTCGGAGCCGCCGTCCACCGTTCCGGTCACACATCCTTGGAAAGAGAAAAACATATTCTGTGATATTACAGATACTGTCTATCCGTCACAGCAATGCAAAAATTGCTGCAAGAAAATTGGAGGTTTGAAACAAAGGTGCTGACTTAGGGGAAACTCACGGATCCAGGCACTCCGGGCCACCTGCCCTGAGAAGATGATGCTGGCCCCCACAACCTCAAAGCCCTGCAGGAAAACCAGAAGCCCAGGAGAGGCCTGCAGCCCCAGCCAGCAGCAGGCACAGCCTTCAGCTCTGGCTGGGCTCTCCAGCTTTCACCTGACATTTAGATGTTCCCTTTCAGGCAAACACAGCCACGTTGAATAGCTCCACTTTTATCACAAGATGGGAGAAAATCACTTTTATGTTATCGGGTACCTCAATGAGCACATTACTCTAAGAACTAATTTCATTCCTTGATGCATTCCATGACAGAATGTGACATTCGTGCATGCTGTCTAGGAAAGAAGAAACCCTCAAGGCTCTCCCTTCCAGATTGTTCCTTTATAGCTGGTTTAGGGCTAAGAGCATGAGTTTGGGAATGAGCAGAGCTGGGGTCCCATCCAAGTCCTGTCCCCTCTCAGCCAGGTGACCCTGCGTCACATTTCACCTTCAGTCTCCGCTACCCTGTCCCGGCTGAGACGCAGAGAGAGCTATCAGTACCCGGCAGAGTTGCAGTGAGAACTCAGAGGGTGCATATGAAGCACCTGCAACAGCGCCCGAGACAGTGCCCAGAGCTTAGAAGACTCTCTAATAACAGATGTTATTATCCAAACCTCCTTCCTCAGGCGCTCTTAGGACCCACTGAGAGATGGTGGACAAGAGCAAGGGAATAAACTATGGCTACAGAACAGAGGAAAGTAATGTGAGCTGGACTCTTCCAGAGGCACCATAACCCAGGGACCTAACCATCCCTGGGCTCCAAAGACATCTGGAAGGACATTCTTGCCAGAACAGACAGCTTTCCCCACAGCACAGAAGGGACGCCATATCAACTCACAGCCAACATTTATAAGAACAGTGCTGGAAATCCCCTCAGCAGTTGGACTGATGCCCACCCCCCCAAAAAAAAAATAGCACTTCTATTCTTCTGATTAAAATGTGACCTCCTCAGGCAAACAAGTTTGAAACAATCAGCAGTGACAAGACATAATGTCCCCAAGAATATGGTCACGTCCGGAGCCATGCTGGTCCATAAAACAAAACAACAGTGAGCAAGCGTGCACTTTGGAAACTCCAACCACCCTGCAGGTGGCTGTGGGGGAAGGAAGGGCGGCCAGGTGCAAGAGAGGAGGTATGGTCCCTTACATGTCAATTTTAACTTTTCCATCCAAACACACCAGATGTCTGTTTGTGGATTTAAAAGGGGGTGAAGTGTGTGAAATAGGAATTGGACTTGGATTTGGAAACTTTGGACTCCAGCAAAGGGTTTTCTCTAACTAGACCTTGGGAAGTCACTTGAACCTCTCTCTGAGACTCCCTCACCTGTAAAGTGAAGGAATGTATCTCAAGAGATCCAGAATTCTAAAACAGGCTACTGTGCTTATAAATAAGAAGAGACAGATTTGGAAGAGATACCTAGTGAAAGAAATGAAACACCACCACCAAGAATCCCCCAGAAAATAACTTAGCAGTATACAAATTCCTACAGCTCTTTCCTGGGGAAAGGCAGGAGGATTGCTCCTGGCTTGAGAAATGAGCTGCTGATGGTGGGGGGGGGGGGGGGGGGG